TGGTATCCCTAAACTGCTTATGTATTTATGCAAACAAGGTTTCTCCAGAAATGTAAGTAATTTTTGAGTTAAAGTATGTGATATGCTTTTAATGTAATCTACTAAATTTCAGTGCTGTCAATCAAATAAAATGGAGCATGCAATTCATAATTATAATTGTCTATTTTTTATAAAATGCAGCTTTAATAGCATTTATAATTAACTATAGCTCATTAACATGATGGAGCTTATCAGACAAATTTTAGTGAAATCCACTATGTAAAGTATACATATGGATATATCTTATTTGGGCTAGTTCATATGTTAAAAGAGTTAAAAATAGTCTAATACACTTTCCAAAAAGACTTGGCATCATCCATATTTTATTAAGAATAAAAATCTGATAATTATCCAGTACACTCAACTACCTAAAAGCAAAAAAAATTATTAAAATTATGTTAAAATAACTACTGAAGACTGATGTCTCTTTAATTTTTAGTATATTAATTTGCTAGTGCTGCTATAACAGAATATTACAAACTAGGTGTTTTAGACAATGGAAATCTATTGTCTTACAGTTCTGAAGGCTAGTTGTCAAAAATCAAGGTATCAGTAGGGTTGTATCCTTCTAAAGGCTGTGAGAAAAAAAATCTGTTCCATGTTTTTGCTTAACTTCTGATAATTTGCTGGCAATCTTTGATGTTCCTTGGCTTATGGAAGCTTACTGACCCACAATCTCTGCCTTCATCTCCACATCATATTCTCCCTGTATGTAAAATTTCTTCTTATATAGGGACATCAGTCATTGGATTAGGGCCTATCTTAATAACCTCTTCTTAACTAATCACATCTTCAAAAACCCTATTTTCAAATAGAGTCACATTCTGAGGTACTAGGAGTAAAAATGTAACATATGAATTTGGTGGCGCAGAGGGGCACAGGTCAATCCACAATATCTAGTAATCCACTTTATGATTAAGTTATTTTTGTATGTAAGAAACCTCTCTGGGATTCAACCTATATTCCTCTGTTGCATATTTTCAATATATTTATCTTGCTTCATTGTATTTCTGTAATATAATCATCTCTAATTGCAAGTCAATTTTGTATTCTCTAAAATTATGCTTTCTTCAGGGCCAATCCATGTCAATTGTGTGACATAGGAATGTTTCTATAGGCTGTTTTAAAAATATATTTTATTTGCTCTAATCAGGACAATTGTTAAGTTTTCATTAGGGCAGTTTTTGTGGATATCTGATGTTGGAATGATAGAATAAAACTTAAGTAAATTGTATACACATAGTACACACATTTGATAATGGTCTTAAAGCTTTTATAAATGTATTATTGAGCCCTGTTGTCTAATATTTAGTTATCTTGTAACTTTGGTATTCAATTTATTGTCGAATATTATTACCTTTAATATTAAGGAATAAAACACACATATATTTATAAATAGTATTTACTGAGTATAAATATTTCAAGGGACTTTTATAAGTTCTTCAGATAACATGATTGACTTAATTCTTGAACATTTATAGAGGTATCATCTCCATGTTACAGATGGGCAAATTGAGGCATAGAGCTCTTCCAAGTGGGCACTTGTGCAATGAATGTCAGAAGCAGAATAACACAGATGTTTCACAGCCTTGTTATTTAATCATAACACTAAGCTGTCTCTTTTATGTCTTAACTATAATCCATACAACATGTTTCTAAAGGCATCCTTTTGTTTTAGGTATATATGGCTATCTTCAGGCTTTGCCCATTTATACTAACCTAGCACGTTTCAACCATGTTCATCATTGTTCGCATTCACCAAACACTGCCATTTTTCCACTTCTAATACTTAGAACATTTATTCTCAGTGAAGTTGGCTTAAAATTTTTCTAGACAAAGCTTCAAGTAAATACATTTTCAACTTGAACTGTCTTTATCCTTGCTTTTCTATGATTGCAAAATGATCTTTCTCTAAAACACAAACTTGAAAGAATCTCTTTGGTCCCCTTTCATTTCTCTTGCTATAATATATTTTTAAACAGAGTTTTATATGTATAATTGATTTACTAGAGTAACTTTTAAGGAAAATTCAATTTGCCCAGTCTTTTCAGAGATAATGAAGCCAGAATTATTTTAAAAATAAACTGTCAAAAGTGAATTAAATTACAATTTTAATATAATATGAAAATACAGCTCATAATTTTCTGACATGTACATATCTAGGAAACAGAGGAATTAAAAACTCACAAGCTTTCATGTATTCTCCTATTGGTTTCTGTGATGTATAAAAGGAGACCCCATGTCACAGATAGGAAACTTAGAAAGTGCCTTGATCTGAGCCTTGACATCACAAGTTCCAGTTTGTGTTTGGTGTTACAAATTACATTATTTGATTCTCTTTTCAGGTGTGATCCTGAGGGACTCACAGGTCATTGTACAAGTATATGTTGTGACAGGAAATAGAATCTTGAGAATCCTTAAGTCTAAAGGACTTGCTCCTGATCTTCCTGAGGATTTCTATTACTTAATTAAAAAAGCGGTTGCTGTTCAAAAGCATCATGAGAGGAATAGGAAGGATAAGGATGCTAAATTCTGTCTGATTCTGATAGCCGAATTCATAAATTGGCTTGATATTATTCAACCAAGTGAGTTCTTCCTCCCAATTGGAAGTATGAGTCATCCACAGCCTCTTCCCTGGTTGCATAAATTTGTCTATGAATTCAAGCAATAAAATAATTTTTTAACTAAAAATAGAAACTTAATCATGAAATTCTGTTTCAATCTTGCTTTGTCAATCGTAGAAATTCCTTCATAGTTTCATTTCTATGTCTTTTTGGGTATAAATTTATGGAGTACAACTATAATTTTGTTACATGCATAACTTTTCTAAGAACAATTTTTCATTTCACTGATCCTTTGTATTGGTTTTTTGGTCTATATTTTATTAGTTCTTCTCTGATCTTTGTTATTTTTCTTTAGTTGCCATTTTGGATTTTATTTGTTTTTACTTTACTAGTTCCTTGAGCTATGTTATTAGATTGTTCATTTGTAATATTTTTACTTTTTGATTTTGGTACTTAAGGCTATAAACTTCCCTCCTAGCATTTCTTTTGCTGTATCCCAGAGGTTTTGGTATATTGTATTACTATTTACATTTGTTTCAAATGTTTTATAAATTTTCACTTTAATTCTCTTATTCGGCCCATGGTCATCCAGGAGCATTTTTAAAAAATTCATATGTATTTGTATAGTTTTTGAAGTTCCTCTTGCTGCTGATTTATACTTATATTCCTCTGTGGTCTGAGAAGATACTGGGTATGATTTCAATTTTTAAAAATTTTTGAGATTTCTTTTGTGGGCTAACAAATGGTCTATCTTAGATAATTTTCCATGTACTGATGAGAAAAATGTATATTCTACAGTTGTTGGGTAGAATGTTCTATAAATGTCTGTTAGGTTCATTTGATCTTAAGTCCAATGTTTCTTGATTTTTTTTGTCTCTATGATCTGTCTAGTGCTGTGAGTAGGATGTTAAAATCCCCCACCATTGTTGTATTACTCACTTTAGCTCTAGTAATATTTGTTTTATGAATCTAGGTGCATAGTGTTGGGTGCATATATGTTTAGACTTGTTATATCCTCTGGCTGAATTGTTCCATTTATCATAATACAATGTTCTTCTTTGTCTTACTTTTCCCCTGTTTTTGTGTTAAAATCTATTTTATCTAGGTATAGCCACTGGCAAAATGCTTGGTTGATGGGTTCAAGTCCTTTGCCCACTTTTTTGTTTTTATAGTGGGGAAAAGAAACCTTATTCAATAAATGGTGCTGGGAAAGTTGGATAGCCACATGTAGAAGACTGAAACAGGATCCACATTTTTTTCTCTCACAAAAATCAACTTATAGTAGATAAATGACTTAAACTTAAGGAAGAAACTATAAAAATTCTAGATGAAAATGTTGGAAAAACTCTTATAGACAAAGGCCTAGGCAAAGAATTTATGAAGAAGAACCTAAAGGCAATCATAGCAACAAAATAAATAAATGGGACCTGATCAAATGAAAAAGCTTCTTCACAGGCAAGGAAACTATCATGACAGAAAACAGACAATCAATGGAATGGGAAACATATTCACATTGCTACACATCCAATAAAGAGCTAATAACTAGAATCTATATAGACTTCAGGAAATCAGCAAAACAAAAAAAATAATAATCAAACAATCCTATCAAAAAGTGAGCAAAGGACATGAACAGAAACTTTTCAAAAGAAGATAGATGAATGGCCAATAAACATATACAAAAATACTCAACATCTCTAATTATCAGGGAAATGCAAATCAAAACCACAATGAGATATCACTTATCTCAAGTGAGAATGTCCTTTATCCAAAAGTTCCAAAACAATAAATGTTGGCATAGATGCAAAGAGAGAGGAACACGCATACACTGCTGGTGGGACTGCAAACTAGTGCAACCTCTGTGGAAAGTAATATGGAGATACCTCGAAGAGCTACAAGTAGAACTACCATTTGATCCAGCACAATACTATTACTAGGCATCTACCCAAAAGAACAAAAGACATTATATAAAAATACATCTGTACTAGAATGTTTATAGCAGCAAAATTCACAATTGCAAAGATGTGGAAACAACTCAAGTACCCATCAATATATGAATGGATTAATAAAATATGTATATGGATAGCATGGAGTTCTACTCAGCCACAAAAACAATGGTGATCTAACACCTCTTGTATTATCCTGGATAGAGCTGGAACCCATTCTACTAAGTGAAGTATCACAAGAATGGAAAAACAAGCACCACATAACATTCATCGGTGTTGGGCAGATGGGAGGGGGAAGGGAGGAGGGCATGGATATACATACACCTAATGGGTGCAGTGCACACCATCTTGGGGATGGACATGCTTTAAGTTCTAACTTGGGTGGGGCAAAGGCAATATACATAATGTAAACATTTGTAGCCCCACAATATTCTGAAAGAAAAAAAAAGACTACCTGTGGTGGAATTTCTTCTTGCTCAGGGAAGGTCGATCTTTTTTGTTCTATTCAGGTCTTCAATTGATTGGATGAGATCCATCTGCATTATGGATGTAATGTACTTTACTTGAAGTCCGCTGTTTTAAATGTTAATCTCGTCCAGAAAGAATTTCACTGAAACACAGAGCATAATGACTAAATATTTGGGTACTGTGGCCCAGCCAAGTTGACCCATAAAATTAACTATCACAGTCAGTACTCAACATAGGTCAACTGCTACGAAGTGAATATTTCTATATTATACTATCTTACTTTTCATCCCTTTAACTACAAGTTTCCTTTACTTTGGAATTGGTTTGCTCTTCCCCATCTCCACTTCTATTGCTCTTTGTTCTTGTTTCTTTGTTCTTATAATTGTCATGGTTCTGGTTTTCACCTATCCTGTTACATCTTTACCATAGATCCAAACTTAAGATGAAGTTTTGCCATACAATATCAATTTGACTAGTTTTAACCCATTTCCAATCATTTTTCACTCCCTGAATACATTAATGAATTTCATAATCTACAAACTCAAGTACATACATTGCCATTTATTTCTAATAGCTTCAAAGGTAAAAATGTATTACACTAAAGATGAATCAGGGAGAAAAATATCAGACTTATGCCTTATTGCTCCTTAACTTCACACAAAATAGTACAGAGATGGTACATAGAACATTCTAAGTAAATATTTTTGAATAAAGCTTTAAAAAGTTAGTATTAGGAAGCTAGACATTTTTAATAGCCTGCAAATTTATGTATAACATCTATTATAGATATCTCACTTTTTCACTTAAATTCCCATCTTTCTTGTTTATGCATGCTACACATAATCAGGGTTATAAAACCAATATTGAAACTCAACTTGATTCAATTAGTTCATACTTTTACATGTTTGAACAACAGAGAGGTATTAAAAAAAACACATACCCTAAAACTTACTGCCAAGGTTATTTACACTAATTTGATATATGATTCTTACTTTCATAATACATGGACATCATTTTTGTTATCTATTGTAATCTAATTAATATAAGTACTTCATTTGATAAAAGTTTCTTAATGTGTTTTTTTCTTTTATAATCATTCATATAAAATAATTCAGAAAGAATTTTCACTAAGTGAAGTTGCATTTTATGGTCACAAATCTTAACAGTAATTTAAACTTTAGTGTACTTAATATCACACATAAGCCATCGCAGGTAAAAGATGTTTATCAATTTATAATATAAGGATTTTTTCCCTTTCATGTTACCTTATTCTATAAGAAACATTTATAAATTTTGCCCCTGAAAACTATGCTATGAGATAAATCATACATTTTGATTTAATTTCACTAAATTAGAAATAACCCTTGTTTCATTTAAATTATTTTGCACCTAATTAAAAATATTTTGCACCTATTTCTAAAATATATATTAGGTATACATACATACACATATGCAAGGTCTGTCTGGAAAGTGGGTGGACCGGGTTGCATGCTGGTGAATAATGACAACTTCAGTGGGGCGCTAGATAATGTTGAGTGAGCATGTGTACTTTGTGGCCATCACATTCAAAACAACGAAGTGAGTAGAGCAACAAATCTGCATCAAATTTTGTGTTAAATGTGAAGATTCCTCTGTGGAAACTATCAGATGATTCAGAAGGCTTTCTGGGATGATGCAATGAGTGTGCACAAATGAAAGTGTGGCACAAACGCTTCAAAGATGGTCAAGAACCTGTTGAAAGTGATTCACGTTCTGGAAGGCCTGCAACAAGCAAAGCACCTGAGAATGTTGAACATGTACAGGTTAGGTTAAGAGATGCTGGGAGAACCATGTCAGGTCCCAAGGTGTCTACTTTGAAAGGGACTGAGGAGTCACTGGCTATGTACAATGTTTCTTGTATCTTCAATAAATTTGTCTGTTTTTCCTATTACATGGCTTGATACTTTCCGGACAGACCTCCATATATACATTGTGTGGGTATATGCACACACACACATCTTTATATACAGAGAGAGATATACATATACACATAAAAGTGACAAGGATATATTCTGAGAGTTAATAACATTCTGAATGTTGATTTTTATCTTTTAAATTTTCTTTCAACTCATTAAACTCCATAGAGGAACATAAATGTGTTGCCAATGCTTTTGATTCAAGTCTAAGCAAAATATATATTCTTCTTTTTGAAGATATATTTGGACTTCAATAATTATGAATAAAGATTGTATAAGTAGAGATTTAATCCAAAAATTCTATATTAATATTCATTTTCCTACAAGATGTATATCATCTGTAGTTAATTTTAGACTACATGTTCCCATTATATTTAAAGAAATAAACATTTTTATATTTGAATTTCTTATTCCTTTCCCAAATGTGATAACAATATTCCTACCTCCTCAAGTCATTTGGTGAAGGGATCATTTTCAATATTCGCATATTAATCAGCTTATTGTTTATGTTTTTAAATTTGATTAATGTTTACTATTCTATTTTTTTTTTAATGTAGATCCAGCAATCCCATTACTAGACATCTATACAAAGAAGAAAAAAAAGATATCCTATAAAAAAGACAACTGCACTAGAATGTTTATAGCAGCACAAATCACAATTGTAAAGATGTGGAAACAACTCGTGCCCATCAATACATGAGTGGATTAATAAAATGTGGTATATATACGATGGAGTTCTACTCAACTACAAAAGACAATGGTGATCTAGCACCTCTTGTATTATCCTGGATAGAGATAGAGCCCATACTATTAAGTGAAGTATCACAAGAATGGAAAAACAAGCACCACATGTACTCATCATCTAATTGGTATAAACTGATCTACACATACGTGCACATATAGTAATAACATTCATCGGGTGTCAGGCAGGTGGGAGGGGGGTGGAGCGGGTGTATATATTCATACCTAATGGGTGAGGTGCTCACTGTCTGTGGGATTAACACTGCTTGAAGCTCTGACTAGGGTGGGGCAAAGGGTGGGGTGTTTCAAAAATTTATATGTGATGAAAAAAATAACCTTGGACTGAGAGCTATGACTAGGAGAATTTCTATTTAGCTTAAAAAGTAAATAAATCAGGATAGATCATCTCTGACTTGTCTGAAACAATTGGTACCAGGGAATTATTGGAAAAAAAGGAGAAAAAATTAGCAGGTTTGTTCACAGGATGTTATCTACAGTCCCTTCAGTGTTTTCTTGCTTTTCCAAAATGCAGTAAAATATTAGTTTTCTTATTTTGGAAAATTTAATTGGATTTTGTGAAGCAGGTTTTTTTTTTTTTCTAACAGAATAAGCCCCTGTAAAAATCTCAAATAAGGGGGCACAAATAGCTTCATAGTTTAAGACATCTGGAAATATGTTAGACCTCTTTGTTTAAATAGCAAAGAAAAATTATTTACTTATCTTTTTCAAAACACACACTAATGCTATCACTGAGAAAATTATATTTACTAAGCTAGTACTCCTTCTACTGTTTTCCAAATAAACTTGCAAATAAGGTAAAATCAATTAAAGTTAATAGAAATGTGAAGTGAGAAAAATAGGGAAGAAAGTAATGCAAATTTTACAACGAAATATTGGTTAAAATAGCAGCAGATTTGTCTTCTTAAAGAGAATACAAATGACATCCAATTTATTACTCAAATTATTTAAAATCCAAGAGGGAAAATGTTAGTGTGCATGATGACTAGTATTTTATTCTCTAAGCTTGATTTGCATTTTTACTGGACATCCTGAACAATAGAAGTCAATAGACCCATAGCAGAAGATTTTTCTTTTTATTTTCTATCAAAAGTTTTCATCCACTATTTTTATTATTATGCATTGTTGACATTGTAGCGCTAAGATTTCCTTAGGCTGACTTGAGAATGTCTTTGTAGTTTTAGATGGCCACAGTCTTCTGCATGTGTAGTTGAGCCTTTAATCATAGAATACAAAATTGAGGTAGCTAATGAGTACATGGATAAATTGTAAAACAACAAAAGCTTGGATATAGTTGTAATTATAGCATCATACTATTAGGAAACACATTTTGCATTCTCTTCCATGGCCTTTGAATCATTATATAATAGTAAATAGTGATCATATGTGACAAATGTATATCTTTTAATTGGATTTTTTTTGGTATATCTACAACATTGGGAATAGAGATCTGAACAATTCTTAGTCTATATAAATAATTAAGTTGATGGAGCTCTTTACAGACTAAGCAATTCCCCTTATGATTTGTGTGAGAAGTGAATCAGAATAATGACATAATTTTAAGAATGAAATGAAACAATAAGCTGAAATTGAATATTGGACATCAAGTAAGAGCTAACACACCTATCTATAGTAAAGCAAAGATATACAATTAGATATCTTAATGTATGTGGTTGCCATGGTTTATATTTACTATAAATTTTCCCAAAAGCCTTTATTATTTTGAAAGATTTAATAAAAATGTGAAGAGAGTAGGTAGAGATGCAGAGCAGGAGAACCAGAGGGAGAGGAAATTTAATCAATGGAATCATTAACCATAGAAATAATTATTTCTTTTTTAGGCTTTATAACAATTCAATATACATGTTACTAGGTCCCTTTATTAGCAAATATTAGCAAATTCAATACCTACCTGGATACTTCTTCCTCAGAACACATTTTCTCTACATCTCTCATAACCAGAAATTTTATTTATCATGTGTGTATATGTGTGTGTAGGGGTGTGTGTGTGTGTGTGTGTGTGTGTTTGTAGTTTCTATGGACCAAAATATAAAACTACTCTTACAACTGCATAACCTCACCTTGTATACTAGGAAATAAATAAGATAATAAAAAGACTGTTAGATTGTAAGATGCATTTCTGTTGGCTTCCTAAATCCAATCAATCAGAAAACCCACTGCTTACCCCAAAGCCCAAGGCCACTTCGAATCATGTGCAAGACTTTTCAGGGTCAGAAAAAATAAAAGGCCAAACTTGCCCTAACTTACTACACCTCCCTCAATGCTCTGGCTTCTCACAGTTCTACTGTACCAAACACTTTCTCTTTTAAGAAGATCCTAAATTGTTTGTATTCTTCATTATCTCCTATGCCTTTATTTTTGCTTCATTAATTCCTACAATTGGTTTTCTCTCCATGGTTACCTGAAG